TGCGTGAACACGACTGGACCCATGAAGCAAGTGCCCGAGCGGTTTTCTGATCCCAGCTCTAGTTCTTCCCACAGAACCAGGTTAAGTCTAAAGACACTGGGACTAGACCGCTTCTGCCCGCAAGTGCAGGCAGCAGTGACCGGGAGCAGCTGTGACTCCTCCGGTCTTCACCAACTGCACACAGCCGGGACCACATCACCACCAGCCCAGGCGCGCTGATCCCCAGTGCTGAAGTCAAGGCAAGACGTCTGGCTGCAGAGTGGCCGAGCAGAAACCACCACAGACACGCTGGACTTGCCGTAACGTTGTCGGGTACAATTCCGAATTCACCAAATAAACAATCTCGAAGGCCATGGTTATGCCGAGTCTCCCCAGCGTAGCCACCGCAGTCCTCAGCCACGCTGTTCCTGCAGACAGAGTGGGAAAGGCAGGCTCGGCAGCTGCTTCCGAGACTGCAGAGCACGCCAGCTTCGTGTTCTCCTAGTTTGGAGTCTTTGCTAATTTCAAAGCCAGCTGGTAGATACTTTCCAGTGTTGCAGCCCAGTTTTAACAGCAGCAACCGCTGGGATGAGAGCTCATTTTGCAGTTTTTCGGTTGCTTTTCCGAGCGGGGTTAAATTCTAGAAATAGGGCCCCCCCCCTCCGATGGTGCAAGGGGTTAAAGTGCAGCACTGTGAAGCTGTCTGCAGCCACTGCAGCTCGAGTTCCATCACCACCACCCCCCCACGAGTGACCCCCAGGGCTCAGCAGACCTCTCCTGACCCACCCGCTGCTCTCCCCACACCTCTGTATGCATGAATAGGTAAATCTTTTAAAAAGTTCTAGAACTAGCATTCAAGACCGCTGGTCAAGCAGCCAGTGAAAGCAACATGGCCTTCCTGATGGCTTAAAGGACACGGGAAGACATCTACACTTGTCTCTCCGAGGCCACCACCCTGGCTGCCATCCCCCGGCCCTCTGTGTGGCCACGTCCCAGTGGCTACGGGTCCCAACAGGCAGGACGAATCCAGACGAGCCAGCTGCTGTTGGTCCTAGACAGCCGCTCGCATCCGAGGGCCGGGGTCGCTGGGCGGCCTCGCTGGGCGGCCTCCTGACACGCGCTCATTGCCTCGCACGCCCCCAACCTGCTGCTGCTCCCACGTAACCAGCCGGAGGAAGTCAGACTCTTAAATACTAGTTGGTTCATCCATTTTTCAAATGAGCTCTTCAAGGGCTGCTGTGGCTGCACAAAGAAACTCTTTTTTCTCCATAGTAACAGGAAGGAGATGCCAAATGTTCTCCATTAAATATTTTCTTTTTTGTGTGTTTGAAAGGAAGGAGTAAACCATTTTTGTTCTGAAAAGTCAGTGCTCTAATTTCTTAGGAGTTGTTCAACCTTCACCATGCTTTCCTAGCGGGCTTGGGGTGAGGAGACACAGTGCCAAGAGCAAGAGCACCCCAACTCTCCAGGGCAAAGGGACACCCGAAATCTCAAAGGCAAAGGGACACCACAATGATCCAGGGCAAAGGGATATCCCATCTCTCCAGGGCAAAGGGACACCCTAAATCTCCAGGGCAAAAGGATACCCCAATGCCCCAGGACAAAGGGACATCCCAACGCCCCAGGGCAAAGGGACACCCCTACTCGCCAGGACAAAGGAAGGACACGAGCATGTCACATTCATCTCGGAAGCGAAGCACCCTTTCACGCTCGCACTAACCTCACCCAGCCCTAAAACGCCCTTGTGCCTTCTAGAATTATGGAACTTCCTGAATACATAATTTTTTAGTTGGCATGTAGGCATGAGTGATGAGGATGGAAAAAGAGAATCAAATTCAGTGGACTCGGAATATGCAACAAATAAGAACAAGTGAAACCCCTCAGCCTTAGGAAGGCAAGCAGAGGAAAGACTGTTCACGACCCCAGATGCCACCGGGAGCTCCAGCTCAGGGCATTTTGACTGCAAATAGCTGAGGAGGTCCCGGGTCCTGGACGTTTTCCCAGCTGAGAACAGCTCACACTAACAGTCACGTCGGGGAGGGAGGCCCCGACTGCGCCTGTGTGCAGCCGCCGCCTGCTCTGGCCGCCCGCTGTAAACACCCGCCGTGTTAGGCCTTGTTTCCTTGTGAAGACTGGGAGGGGGCAGGAAAGGCTTCTACCCCTGGGTGAGCAAGTGGCGCGGCGCCAAGCGGGCACTCGTGTCCGATTCCCTGGTCCCAGCCTCCTGGGGCAGCCACTCACGCTCACGGGCTGCGAAGCATGTGGTCTGTGGCTGTGGAGAGAACTAGGTTTCCAGGTTGGGTCCTGGGCTAAGTCCCTGAGCCATGGGGCTTTTTCCCTACTGAATAAAAATTGCTATAAACGAGTCCCACCAGTAACCTCCATGGCAGTTTCGGTTGACAACAGAGACCAGGAATGTGCTCTTAGAAAGAACCAAACAACAACCGAGACACCAAATGAAAACACACACCAGGAAAAAGTGACGTGTTTTGCTCTGTGACCACAAGGAGATAACTGGACGATTCAGTGAGCTACCTAGACACCCCTACCAGGTTGGCACTACCGGGCACAAAAAAATCACCCTGGGGTCTTCTAGGCTGGCAAATAATCAAACAAACATCAGAACGGCTGATAAGAATAAAAAGGCAAAGAGCAGATTAACAACACGTGAGCCTGCTATGTCGTGGGGAGAGGCCGGCAGGAAGGACTTGCCCACGTGACTTCAGGCTCCATTTGAAACAGGGCCTGATGGGCGGCCGGGGGAAAAGGGCCCGGGAGGAAGTCAGCTAGGAAGTCAGCCCGGGGAGGCTCAGCAGACAGAGCTGTGCAGATTGAATTTCTGCTGCCTCTGCTGACGAAGGATACGTCTTCAGAGCATGCCCTCTAGAAGTCTGCAAGAAAACGTGCTTTTCAAAAGCAACCTCCACCCGGCCTTCGAGCGCCACCTATGAAATCAGCCTCTTGCCAAAGGCGTACTTTGGGGAGCAGGCTTTTGCTCCCCGCAGCACCCTGGCACACACGGTCTGCTCCACGTGCTGGCCTTACTCCGAAAGGCACGGCCAGTCCCAGCAGTGGCGGCCGGCATCTGGCCACACGGGCGCTTGGCGGACGCGTCAGCAGAGAGAGTTCCCAAAGGCGCTGCGTGTGGGTTAAAGTATTTAACAGAGGAGCGGGAGTCACGCGGGCGTGACTAGACTACATACACGAACACAGTGTCAGCTCCGTCAAGTGGCGGGCTGGTCCTGGGCTGGCAACAGACATCTGGGAGCAAAGACTAGAGGCATGATTTACAAATGACCCTGTGACAGTCACGCCGTGAGAGGCCCGCCCCCGCCCCGTCGAAGGGGCGAGAAACCTCGAGCGCAGGCTGCCAGCCCCTCCTTGCACACCGCACAGGAACCTGCGGCCTTTCACCCCTGGGAGGGCCAGGCGCCCACCAGAGATTTCCCCGTGGGCACCCCCCAGCACTGGGCACCTGGGCGGGGTGGGGGTGGGTGAGCCCGGCGCCCACCTCCTCTGCTCTGGACGCATCAGCACATCTTCCTGACAAACAACTTAGAACCAGAAGCTCCTCCTGTCAAGAATGGTTACATTTTGAATGCTAATGACTCGCTTTTCCTGCTAATATAAACTGGATTAAAAGTCGAGGCTGTTGGAACAGTTCTCACTGAGCAGTGTGCCTGGCTACAGCCGGGCTGGGAGGCTCCCTGTGACTAGCTCATAAACTCTCTGTCTCACTGTCACGGAGACTTTCTCTCAGCCAACAGGCCTACCCTACTGCTTGAGCCTCCAGCTGAAACTCTGCTGTGGAGCCATGAGATTACAGAGAAAAGGGTCACTCTGAAGGAGGGTTTGGTCAAGCTGATAAAGACCACCAGGAAGACTCCCTCGATGACTAAAGACGGGATGCAGGATTTTAGGTAAGTACAATTCGCCTCTCTTCTCAGTGGGGAACCTCTGCTCAGAGTTCTAAAGTAAAATTTAGGGGCTCCTCTGGTGATCTAGGGGTTCAGTCTCAGCACTACCACTGCTCTGGCCTGAATTCGATCCCCGGCCAGGGAGTGACCTACAGGGCACAGCAGACCTCTCCTGTCTCCTGGCTGCTCTCATCAGCAGTGGATTTCAGTGGATCTGCCATCTGCCTGCTCTGCTCCCCACTCTGTTTCTGGGGAATCCCTGCACCCCAGTTCTTCTACATTAAAAAAAAAAAGAAAAGAAATACAAATAATAAAAATTTTTAAATAAAGTAAAATTTAGTGAACATCCCTAATAGAGATATGGCCACTAAAGTCCATGGAATTACTTTTCACCTAACGAGAAACATAAATGAAAACCTTTTCTTTTCTCCTTAAGGCAACTCTCATGTCATAAGAAAGACGTACCCAAACGTCTATGCTTGCCGTCACCCAGCTTAAAGATGCTGGGTGGGGGGAATAAAGTGCTTTCTTTTTCAGACTGTAATTAGAGTTCAAAAATGTGGATCAAAAGCAGTGAGTCTTAAATGAAGACACGGCCGAATCGCTTTTCAACATTTCATTCTTCAGACCATGAAAAGCTGTGGGCAGTGGAGGGAAGGGCCAGCTAACCTACTGGCGTCATCCCGGAGCCGTCCCGCAAAGGACGATGGGTAGTATGTGCAGGGGCAGCCCTGGGGAGCCCTCCTGTGATGACGTCAACAATGCTGGGGAGAATGTCTTTCTACTGGTAGCTCAGCAGCCCCAGAAACCGAGTCAAGAGCTCCTGTAAGTCAGAAGTAATTGGCCTGCACCCCAGTTCTTCTAAGCAATAACTAAATAAATAAATCTTTTAAAATAAATGGGTCCTCTGCTGACGAAGGATAAGTCTTCAGAGCATGCCCTCTAGAAGTCTGCAAAATCCGAAGAGGAGTGGCTACGGAGGATAAGGAGGAACTCAGTTAATATCCGGTCTTCATCGGGAACTTGAGGATCGAAACGCATCCTGCCAGCCCATCAGACCGACGCGTGCTACAGCAGCAGCGAAGGCCCCCGGTGTGCACGGGACAGGCACCAAGCAAGAGCGACTCATTTCAAAAGCGCCGAGATGGTTCTGGACTTAACTTGGGAGGTTTCATCTGCAAGATAAGTTAGCAGCCCAAACCCCGAAGCCTGTCTCCTCTTCTAGTTTTCAGTATCTGATTGTGTGACCTACGGAAGCGCACTCCACCCAGTTGCTTCACCGTGGCTTGAGACACCGCCTTGCATGCTTTCTGGGCTGAGGTTGAAGGCCCACATGTTAAAGTCACCCTGAGCAGCCCAGGGGCCAGAGAAGACTTTGGGGGGAGTGACACCATCAGGTCAGGAGTCACACTCAGTCATCAAGTCGACTACTTTCCCAGCTTCCCATGCAATGAACACCGAACTCCTGCTCCATTAGCACGTCCGTATCCACTCCTCTTCGGATTGTCTCGGGGGACGGCATCTACAACTAGCCAGAGGCCACTCGAGGCCCTAAGCTCTCAACTCGTCACCCTTGCGTGTAAGCGATTCCCGAGGACGGGAATGACCCCACCTGGCTCTCTGCTCTGCCTTAGCTTAGTGGTGGCCATTTACAGACATGAGGTGGACAGGTCTTGCCTGAGGTCCACGATACAGAGCCCCAGCTCTCGGCACGAGCTACGTCCACAGAGAGGGGCAGTATCCCCCCAAATGCTTGTCTACCAGGTCTCGAACCCTGACCTTATTTGGGAACAGAGTCTTGCAGACATGAAAGGTGAGGACACAGAGACGTGGAGCGGGGGACAAGTGGTGACAGCCCAGCGAGGACTGCTGAGTCCAGCTGCCAGCCACAGGAGCTGGGAGAGAGGCGCCCCCGGAACTCGGCCCTCCGGGAGGAGCCACGTGCCAGCGGGCAGGAGCACCAGGCAGGGGAAGGGCCAGCGCTCAGAGCTGCTGGCGCGCTGGCTGCAGGCTACGGTCTCCAGGAACGTGGGAAGAATGTTCTGCTGTCTGTGGCCTCTGTCTCCGCAGCCCAGGAAGCCAGCAGCCTCCGGGAAGAGGAGAGGACGTGCGTGGTTCTGTCCGTCGCTGCTCCAAGTGAGCGGGGCTGTGCGGCTGTTTCAGAAATTCTGTTCTGGGGACAGGCGCTTCTGCAACTCTACTTAGATTGGGTCCTTCTGGTGTTTTGGGAACTCATAAACTCACAGTAACCAGCAAGCGCATCTGTGAAAGCCTGCGTGCTGTGGCCTCCACAGTGCCATCCTGCTGTTCTTTCCTGGCCCTCGGGGGAGTCTCGGAAAAGCAAAGCAGCCTTGTGCGACGCCAAGGCCAAGAGTCCAGCGCCGGGACCCTAGCCAGCACCCAGAACGGAAGTGACAAATGCTCTGGGTGCCCAGAGGCCCCTCCAGCCTGCGTGGACTCTGCAGGGACCAGCGGGGCACCTCACGGGCACCTGGACTCACCCGCAAGCTCTGCGCTGCGTGTCAGCCGCTGCCCCCAGAACGGAGGTCTGCGGCACCGCTGACGTCGTCCTTCCCTCGCCAGGCCCACCTGGGCTCCCCATCCCAGCATCTGTCCCCGCAGCCCCGTCCAAAGTGCCGCGGCTCCGCCACCCTGCTGGCGGGGAGGCTGGACCAGGCGCAGGCCCCAGCCCCAGCCCCACCCCGCAAGGGCCAGCCAGAACAAAGCAGGCTTGGCCCGCGCCCTCTCCACGTTTCTCTCCCAGGGGATCGTTCTCTGCCCCAGAACAGCTGGGGCCCGTCCCAGCCCCACCACGCGGCCCCTTCCTCACCCACGGAGCCTCTGGGGGGCTGTTCCTGGCTCCCCCGGGGGCATCGCACTGCCCACCTGTCTTAGTTAATTACTGTTGTTATTATTTTGCTCCTTCTGATTCTTGCAAATACTTCCTCATTCCCTTTATGTGCGAGTCACGCCACGTGGCTGATCCCTCTCCGCTGACCGGGCAGGTGTCCGGCTGCTCATCCTTCCTCTCACCCCCTCTGGGCTGCTCGGGGAGCAAGGGTGCGAAGGATGGTGGCAACAGCTCCTCCGGTAAGGTGTATCAAAAGCAGGCGATACCCCTAGGAGCTAGACTTTGCACCAAAATGAAACTAAAAGCAGAGAACACAAAAAAGCTGATAGAAACATTCTCTTAAACCTCAGTCTTTCCACTGATGGAGCGTCAAACTTGAGTGGACTCACTAAATGCGTGGATTATAGAGAAACCGAACGGAGCGAAACCAACACAGAGACAAGCAAAAGGGGCTGGGGGGTGGGGAGCCCCTGGACCCCAAGGGGTCCGTTGCTGCTGGTGGGCAGGGTGTGAAAGTGCACACACACAGCGGAGGCTTGAGCCCAGCCATTCCCCACCCCTTGGGTTTCGCTTCATTAGGTTTCTCTATAATCCACACATGAGTGAGCCCCCCCAGCCCAGCTCACACAAAGCTGTAAACCTGCTTGACCTCGATAAACATAATTCGGGGGAAAATAAAAACTGAATCCAGGACAGCTGTGCCCAGCACCGGCTCTGCAGTGGACGTCCCAAGGTCAAGGTTCCGCGTTCCGGCTGAGCCCGACTAATTCTTTTCAAGGTCTTGGCTGCCCAAGAGATGGGGACACCCACCTTCGGGCAAGAAGGCGGTGACGAGGCAGGCCACCCCCGCCACGACGTTGCTGGCCGCGAAGGGCAGGCGGCGGCCGAAGCGCTCGATGGTGAGCAGGATCAGCAGCGCCCCCGGCAGCTCTACCACGCCCGAGATGAAAAAGTCGATGTAGAGGTTGCCCGCCACGATGCCCAGGCGCATGACGAGCCCCTGGTAGACCAGCGCGCTGGTGAACCTGCAACGACAGCGGGAGAGGCAGCGGGCGCGTGAGGCGCCGCGGGAGGGCGCCGGGCAGCTCCTGGCGTGCCGCTTACCACGCGAACATGAGGATGAGCGTGCACTTGCGCATCTGCGGCGTCCTCACCAGGTCCAGAAAGGACGGGTTACTCACGGCCTCCTCCGTGACGGTGATCTGCGGGCGACAAGCGGCGGTCAGCGCGGCCGCGGCACGACGCAGCTGCACAGAGCAGACCGGCCGCCGCCTGCAGGGCCGCCGAGGCTCGTGCTCCGGTCAAGGCGCCCGCGCGGCGGTCCCGCCCCGAAAGCCTCACGGCGAGGCCACGGGCAGCGTTTCCCGAGATGCGGCCCCCGCGCTGAGGATCTAGTCTTAGGGGGCTAGCAGCCGTCTCGTATGCGGAATGCCCTCCGACCTCGGGAAGGAGGTTCATGTAAAGGGAAATACCTTGGTGCGTTTGTGTGGAGCTAAGAAGCATAAAAGCAGCCCAACCCCAAATACCGGGTGGTTTCACTCATAGCAGGAGATAACGGACCGGGCGGGAAAATATTAATAATGAACAGCCATATACCAGAGACATTTAATGGGGGTGGAGTGGGGACTGGGATCAAAAACAAAAGTGGAGGGGTTGGGGGGAGTGCACTGGACTGCGGTGTTGGCACACGCGTGATTGGGTGATGGGAAGCCCAAGGGGATTGCAACTGAGATGGGAAGTGGCACAAAATGATGTAAAAATAAACCGTTAAGGCCCTCCCTGGTGGCGCAGCGGGTTAAAGCACAGCACTGAGAATCTGAAGCCGCTTCCGTATGAGTTCGATTCCCGCCTGCCGCCTGCCCCGGAGGTGACCACATGGCGAGCCAGACCTCTCCTGACCCGCCCGCTGCTCCCCTCAGCAGTGTACTTCGTCGATCTGCCTGTTCTGCTCCCCACTCTGTCTCTGGTGAAGCCTCTCACCGCCCCTGAGCCTCTGGCCTGTACCCCAGTTCTGTATGAATAAATAATAAATCTTTAAAAAATAAATAAATAAATAAATAAAAATAAACCGTTAAAAAAAAAAAAAAAAAAAAACAGCCCAACCAGTGGGATCCAAACTCGCGGCTCTGTTTCAGTGAAACCCTCACGCCTTGTGTGGATGAGTGGACAGTGGCACCAAGTTCAAGAGCAAGCGCAGGCCGAAGGCACCATCTTGTTTCTGTCCATTTGCTGGAATCTGGGGCCCAGTTTCTGAGTCAAGACAATTCTGCTTATCTCTACTTGTCATCCAAGAAGTTGGTCTTCTCTTTAGTTCAATTAAACAAGGACTGGCTGTTTCCTCCCCTGTGAAGGCACTGAGGGCGACAAAGCTCGCCAACACCAACCAGCGTCAACCAAGATAAAGGACTTCACCTTGCGCCCAGCCAGATGACGGGAGACCTCGCGCCCCAGTGTCAGACCCTCACTTCTGGATGCGCACGGCAGGGAGAGGGTCGCTGCTCTTTCTGTCACTGTATTTTCAGTCTATGATTTAGCAGCAAGATGACCTGTACGTGGACGAGTACAGCGTCCAGTAAAATGTTCCGAGTTAATTTTCTAAATTCTAAGACTCGAGTGAAGCAGCTGTTTGCCTCTCTGCTGCTCCAACATTAAGGCAGGGATACTGAAAGTGGAAGGTCAGAATGGAGTGTATTGTGACAACGCATCACCATACAACTGACAGTCAAAAGGTTTCCACAGTTGATTTCTGAATATTGCCCACATTAAAATGGCAGACAACTGTGGGCTTTAAACCAGACCCAGGGCTCATACGCTAAGTGAATGATTTCATTAAATTTTCATCAAAACTCTGTGGAGCTAGCTTTTCATTAATCCCACCTTATAAATAAGACGCGTAAGGCTTCGGTCACTGGGGTTACGACATAGCAGGAGTGTGGCCAAGTCAGGATTTAAAACCAGGCAGCTGGTAGAGGGCCCTTGTGCTAACTTCCCACGCTGCACTGCTAAATATACAGAAGACTGTCCATTCTAGAAAACTACTTTGTGGTAGGTGCTCATCTCTACCTATCTTTAAGAAAGACACTGTGCACTAGATATTAAAAATCTAATACTTAGCATTTGCCCAAAATAATTTGCATTTTAAAGCCCTTTAAATTAAAGATTAAACCCCCATAATCTGGCAGCAGTTTTCCTCCATGGATGTATCCCTTATTCAGGAATCTTTCCACTTAGTGTTTCTCCACAAGGCATGGTGTTATCTCAGACACATAACTCCAGGGGGCTCCTGGCCGCTGCGCTCACCCACACATGCGCACTGTCTCCGGGAGAATGCAGGTGGCGGCCATCTTTTCTCCTTAAGGGCAATATACATGATTTATTTTGTCTCACTTTTCTTTCTCCTTCAAGCTTACTTCCCACGTATAGCTATGATTTCTCACTACTAAATAAGACTGAACAGATGCACTTTCATTCAATCCCAAGGTCAACATTCAAGTTCTTTGGTCAATTCAGGTACACAATTTGATATGTAAACAGCGTTGTAGGTTTTTTACAGTTATTCTTGGTACTTAACTGTTTCTAAGATAAAATAACTTCTTGTCTCTTGCCTTCACATTGGCTCTGCAAACGTCATGTTTTTCTGAACCATGTCTAAGTCGGGCAAGTCACTATAGGAGCACAGAATGATGGCAGGTTTGAGTTTGACAAGACAGTAGAGGTCTGATGGTCTGGCCAGGGTTCAGCAAACTTTCTGTAACTGCCAGAAAGCAAGGGCTTCTGGTTGTGTGGTCTCTGTTGGAACTACTTAATGTGTGTGCAAATAGGTAATAGCAGCTGGGTTCTGATAAACTGTTGTTTTACAAAGCAGGTACAGGAAAGCTAAGTAGTTGATCCAGGAGAACACAGTTATGTGAACCAGGAGGTGTCGTACTTCAGTCTGTATTTCTATCCACTATGCTCCACTGTGTCTGCAACATGAGCGTGCAATGTCAGTACATTGTTTAGAAGCATGTTTCTGTCATTTCACTAATGGTTCTTAGAAGATAATGGAATGGTGGTCTTGTTTCTTTTTAACTGAAAATCTCTTAAAATTAAGGTTAAAATATATTTTTGGTAACAAGAACAAATAGTTCACTTTTAAAGCAAAGGATTTAATTTACACACCAGTATACTTTCGGGGGTTGTTGACTCAGTATCATTTTCCCTTTCTTTTTCTTAATAGAAGGCCCAAACACACACACACACACACACACCATCAGTTGGTGTTCTCAGGAGAACTGACTCTGTTTGCAGTCTGCGGGCAATTCCATCCTCGGTGCCAGTGACTGGACAACGGCTCATTCTGAACCAATGACAGATGAGCACGTGACCCAACCTGAATCAATGAGCCATGGGCTTGAGACCCAATGTGAGGCACTGAGAAAGGGGGTTCTGGAAAAGTCCTTAAATTCCCATAAGCCAGGGTGTTCTAAAGGAATCTTCACTCTCTATCCTTGAGGAATTAATACAGAATTGGTAGGCTCACGTAGATCTTAGTAGCCCTCCTCCACCCAGTAGGAAGACGGCCTTGTCCACAGGGTAGAGGGACAGAGAAAACCACAGATGGTTGATGGCTGGGGCGAGGCTTGGCCAACCTCGAATGCTGTTGTAACTCTAGAATTTGAGCAACATAAGCCAGGAGATGTCCTCATGGTCTAAGCCTGTTTAAATTAGTTTTCTGTTACTTATTGCCAAAAGTGGAATTATCTGCAGAATTCAATCCAGGACAATGGTCTAGTTTTATCAGCTGAATACTTCAAGCATCATCATGTTGTATTAAATCATTAAAATAATCACTTCAGTCTTCCAACTCACTCTGTAAAAAAACATCGAGTCTTAATTTCAAACTCTTGAGACTTAGAATCAAGCAGTTAGCTGATTTCCCAAAGCACAAGCTGAACGCCTATTACACATCCTCTACCGCGATTATGAAATGCTGATAATAAGCAGAAGTAATGGAGACCTTGAAACCAATCCCTCCTGACCCGTGAGGATTAATAGTACTCCCAAGCAAGTCAGCATTTTGCCTCATTTAAGAACAAATCCAGCTGGTCTTTGATTTACTAACATGTTTTCCGCAGTGACGCAGATATTCTAAAACATGACCCACTTTCTGGGCGTCCAAAGACTTGGAGAGACTAAAGGCCACACTGTGGGCGAGTCGCACTGTGGGCGAGTCGCACTGTGGGACTGCTGGGCCTCGTGTGTGCGTGGCCGCACACAGCAGCTTCTAAACCTTGAGGTGAAGCTATGCTCAGATTGCTATTTATTATTGCCATAGTGAGTTTGGTAACAGATTTTGCTGAGTTGGAGTCAGATACAAAAGACTAGAAGTGTCCAAACAGGTTAGTATATATCTTTTCCATCTCAGGGAGAAACAGAATTCCCCGATGTTAAGTGTACGCTTCAGTGGGTCACAGCACCACCACTGCTGTGCTATGGACATTTCCACTCTCCCCAGGACATCCTCGTCTCTGCTTCGAATCCTCTGCCCCCGCCCGTGGTCTCTGGAGCCCCCTCATCTGCTTTCTGTCGTCAGTTTTGCCTTTTCTAGAACCTAGAAAGGGAACCAGACAGGATGTTGTCTTGTGTGCCCAGCTTGGCATTGCGTGTGTGGTCATGTGTTTGTGGCATCTACATGGTGTCTGCCAGTTTTGATTTGGAGCAGAGGAGATGGTGAAACTGTCCCGGGAGCCTGTGTCTGTTTGGAGTCCTGTTGCCTAGCAACGTCACTCCTAGCTGTGGGCACCGCTCACGGTTACACTCACAGGTTGGTTTCCTATTTATTTACTGAGCTGGTGGTTATTTTCTCTAGCCGTCTCTTATTCATCTTTTAGTTCTACCATGATTTTTTGTTGTACATCAACAATGAAGGACCCTATGTTACAAGAGCGTTTTATTCAATTAATCTAACTCTATTTACAGTTTCTCGTGGTGTCTTTCTGAAATATTTCTTCCAGTTGACATTTTAAATTTCCAAAGAAGAGAAAGACATAACCAACAAGCTGTTGTCAATATAGGGTTCAGTGCTTCCCTGATGAGGGGCTGGTGTCTGGTCCAGAAAGAGCAGCCAGGACCAGCCAGCCGTGGTCTGCTTTATGGAGAGCACTTTCTCCCCGGCACATTATCAAAGCCGGGGGGGGCCTCGGTCCTCTTGTCAGGACCA